TTTGAGAAAAAGAAAATGAGTGCAAAAAGTTGAATCAGAAGAGAAAAAAATAAATGTCATCAAATTAAAAAATCCTATTCTTCTAAAGAAACTATTAAAAAAAATTTTTTTAAAGCTCAGACTGGGAGCAAATACTTACTGGGAACAAAAACTTAGATCAGATAAAGGATTTGTACCCAGAATATGTAGAACTCTCACAAGTCAACAATAAAAAGACAAAAATATACTTTAAAAACAAGAAAAATATTTTAAGGGACATTCCAGCCCAGAAGATATACAAATAACTAACAAATACATGAAAATATGCTTAATATCATTAATCATTAGGGAAATGCAAATTAAAATCACAAGGAGATACTACTATATGCCTAGAATGACTAAAATGAAAAAGATTGACAATGTTAAGTGTGAGCAAGGATGTGGAGCAACAGCAAGTCTCCCTCATTGGTAGTGCAGACACAAAATGGTGTAACTACTTTGGATGATAGTTTGTCAGTTTCATATACATTAAACATACACTTAAGTAATTCCACTTCTAGATAATTCTCTAAGAAAAATAAATGTATAGATGTCTGAATTTAGATCTAAATGTAAAGGTTTATGGCAATTTTGTTCATAACCCACCCCCCCAAACAGTCCATGAGCTGATGCATGGATAAACAAAGGATGGCACGTCTATACAGTAGAACACCATTTGCTAATGAGAAGGAATGAACTGATGTTTGCAACATTATGGGTAAATCTCAAAAACACTATGTTATGTGAAGAAAGCTAGATTCCAATGACCACATATTATATGATTCCATATGACATTCTAGAAAAGGCAAAACTATAATAATGGATAACAGATCAGTGGTTGCTAGGGGTGGGGGTTGGGGAGATAATTGCAAAGAGACACAAACTTTTGCAGATGACAAAAACATTGCATAATTTGTTTGTGGTAGTGGTAACATAACTACACACATTTATAAAAATTCATTGATCTGTATACTTAAAAGGAAAATTTTTATTTTATATAAAATTTTTGGGTGGGGGGTTGGGGTGACTGGTTGATGGGCACTGAGGAGGGCACTTGGTGGGATGAGCACTGAGTGTTACGCAAATTGAACTCCAGTTAAAAACAATTTTTATTGCATACCTTAGCAAAACCGATTTAAAATTCTCCCTCTCCCCAAGGCGCCTCGGTGACTCAGTTGGTTAAGCACTTGACTTGGATTTGTCTCAGGTCATGATCTCAGGGTTGTGAAATGGAATCCTGCCTTGGGCTCCGCATTGGGTGTGGAACCTGCTTAAGATTCTCTCTCTCTCTCTCTCTCTCTCTCTCTCTCTCTCTCCCTCTCCCCCTTACCCCCTCAAAAAAAATTAAGAAGTAAATAAATACAATAAAACTCTTTCTCCCCCCCAAAAGAAAATAAGTGCATAGCACATGGTTTAAATAAGGAGATAACCAACTTACAAATGTAAGCTCTCTCAGGAAAATATGGCTTCTTAAATCTGTAAGGGCAGAGAAACCATATAGGTGCGAAGCTTTACAATTACTGCTTGTGCACTAATATTTAACTGTAATGTATATTTCCTTGTTTGGTCTATTGAATCAATGCAACACTTAAAATGGATATCTTATTTAATTTTTTAAATTGATATTTTAATTAAATAGCAGACTCCAGAGATGAATTAAGATAGCCTGAAAGAAAAACAGAAAATGTGTTCATATCATCTTCTTAAAAAAAAAAATGCACTAGGATAAACAGTGTGATGTACAATGAATAGGACATTGAGAATTACACAATAGTTTGCTGAAATGAGTCTAATTTATCTCGCTCAACATTCAGGAATAAGCTTTTTAAAAGCTCTTTTACTAAAAAGAGAAACATTTCTGCACTTGTAAGCTCCTCAGAGAAGAATACTAACTACAGGGCAGTATTATTTCACGAGCAATGGGCTTTACTTTGTCATTAAAGTTGTTCCATGTATAATTGCTGGGATCACCTTCATAAAGTGCGTCTTTAGTACACATATTTGTAATTCATTAAGAGCACACGCTTATTTTGGGAAATTCCATTTTAGAGACATGGGCACTGAACTTGTGAGAAGGCAACTATTTTGCCCAAATTACTGTGTGCCATCTGAAGCCTAGAAGGGATGGATAGCAACAGGGGATCCTGGTGTGGTGCCTTCTGTACCACACAGGGGCTCAGCGACTCCCCATAGATTATTTACATGAGAGAGATTTTTAAGAATTTCATTTTGTGAACGGTTCTTTTGAGGAGGTGCTTCTACAAAGGGGCCTGAAGATTATACTAGGAAGGTCTTAAATTAGAAAAACATAATTTGGGGACACCTGAGTGTCTCACTAGTTGGGGGAGGGGGCGTCTGCCTTCAGCTCAGGTCGTGATCCCAGGGTCCTGGGATCGAGTCCCACATCGGGGAGCCTGCGTCTCCCTCTGCCTATGTCTCTGCTTCTCTCTGTGTCTCTCATGAATAAATTTTTTAAAATCTTAAAAAATAAAAAGCAAAACATAATTTTATTTTACTTATAAATCTTGTAATCTAAAGGGGGAGAGAAGGCCCAATCCAGTTCTTTGTTAATATCCTTCAATTGCAACATATTACATTTGTGAATGTCCTGAGCCTCTCAGTGTTTCAATAAGCATTTCTCCCTCTTCCCTTGGGGGTTCATTGTAGTCACCAATAGCTATAAACTGTAAAGATGGGATGGGATGTTTCATCTCATTAAGATGCCAAGCAACCAGGAGTCCTTCGTCCTCCTTACATCTGATTTATGCTCCTCAAATATGACCTTTAAGGCCTTCGTTGCTTTGCACACACACTGCATGTCCCAAGGGTACATAATTAAGTAGGTCACATGTCTCACACTGCATATTAGTACTTGCCTTTCAACATGCATTTCCTCTGTTGTACTGTGGGAAAATTCTCTTTTTCATAAGACAGTCTTGCACAAGTTCTTGGCATTTTGCACAGAAGAAATGTCCTTGATATATTGTGGGAACACTTAAGGTCATTTGGGATTTTATCAGTCATGAGAATAATTAGCCTCACGTTTTCTAAGGAGTAGAGCCCACTAGTACTAATTGTAGTATTGCCTTAGGCTTGTGCTTCTCGGGGTACAAAAGAGCTCTCAAGGATCAGAGTTGTGGTTGTACCTTTGCCAATTAAAGTATGTCAATAATGTTTGAATAATGCTATCCATAAAATGTCACGACAAAAATGAAAAAAAAATTTAAAATACATTTGATAATCTTTGACACTAATAAATCAGCCTGCAGAAATGCCTATGTCCCTGGTAGGGTTTCTATTAATTCCTCTCAAAATGGCTTTTTACTAAGCACGCTGTAGGATTTTCCAATCACATGAGTAAATAAATACACATGTTTCTTTATGCTTAAAATAATTTTGCTTTCAAAATTTTAATAACTGTGCATTTTTAGCATCAAGATAAAATTTCATTTTGCTGACCATAATTATTGAATAGTCAAAGATTAAAAAATATTTAGTGCAAATAGAGTTTGAAGAAAATCGGGATTACTGGCTCTGCTCCTCCACTGCACTATCACAATCTTTTTTATCCTTTGAAAATCAAGTTTTCTCCATCTAAGAAATCAGCTAGCGTAATCCTAGACGATGCATTTGTGTCCTAATGAATAGGCCTATTTAATTAAGTTGGATTGCATGACTAGTGACTTGCTCCTTTTAGGGATGCTAATAAAGAGACATCAACAAGATGCAGTTGAGTTTTCACATGACGATCCTGTTAAGAAATTAATTGGAGATGAAACAGTGGCAAAGAACACACAAAACCCTACAGAAAAAGTGATTCTTGCATTCAGTGTGCATACAAATCACCTGGTGAACGTGTTAAAACATGGATTCTGGTTCTGTCACTCTTGGGTGAAGCCTGAGATTTTTCATTTCTAACAAGCTGTCAGGAGATGCCCATGCTGTTTGGTGTGAGGGACCATGTTCTGAATAGCGGGCTTATCGACCATCACAAGGTGACAGCTCACCGTTTGTAGGAGTGTGGGTTGGCACATAATTCTATGGCACCACTCAGGGCTGAGCTGCCTCCTTTTGTTGTGCATTAGGAAATTAGAGCAATGCACTGGGATACAAAGTGTGCCTTCTGGGTTAAAACATACCAGTTTGCCTCGTCTCCCTCTTATTCCCTGGCTAGACCCGAACTACGGCTCTTGACTTTAGGAAGAATGGTGCTGATTTTATACTGAAATATGTTCATGGGTGATAGTGACCGGAATGTGTGGGCCTCAGTGTCAGGGATGTAGTCAAAAAGGGTGACTTACTTGGGAGAGTGTGAGGAGCTGTGCAGACTCTGTGTGTTTGTGTGCCTGCTTGTGCGTGTGCCAATATATGGACTTCCACTCATAGTTGAGGAGAATCATACTGCAGTGTGCTTCTTACTTTCATTTTCCCCCTAGAATGAGGACTGCTGCTTTCATTTCCAATCTTGTTGAATACAAAGACCTCCTTTTTGATTTTTTTTTAAAGATTTTATTTATTTTTATTCATAAGAGACACACACACACAGAGGCAGAGACACAGGCAGATGGAGAGGAGGCTCCATGCAGGGAGCCTGATGTGGGACTTGATCCCAGGTCTCCAGGATCACGCTCTGGGCCGAAGGCAGGCGTTAAACCACTAAGCTGCCCAGGGATCCCCTCCCTTTTGATTTAAAGTATAGCTGAGACACGTGGTTCACGTGTACAACGTAGTGATTGGACAACTCTATTCCTTACTCTATGCCTACCACAAGTGTAGCTACCAAGACCTCCTTGGTAATACAAACATATTAAAGAATTTTGTTATCCAACTGAGAATTCATGATCGAAACCTTTGAATTGAATTGTCCTTGATTAATCTTAAGATTATGTACATAAGTTTTTTGGGGGAAACTCCCCAAATCCCAAAATGAAACCAGTATACCTATGACAGAAGTAGTATTCATTCAACCTAGACAATAGTTGCTCTCTGCAGCCATGGTTTGGGAGACAATTAAGATGATCTGTTGAACCTCTCCCTTCACTATACTACATTTCAGTCTTCTGTTCTGTTCTCCAGGATGACTAATTTCCTATGAAGAATAGAGAGCCTGGAGAGACTAGAGATGTTGAACTTACAGAAAATCCAGAAGAATTTATGGGCCCCAGAAGATTTATATATATATATTTTTTTCTCTCTTTAAAAAATGTTTTTGAGTATAGCTGACACACAATGTTACATTTAGAGTTTCTGGCGTACAACGTAGTTGATTCAACTTCTCTATGTGTTATGCTATGCTAGCCCCACGTGTAGCTCCCGTCTGTCACCATAATATACTATTGGAGTATCATTGCCTGTATTCCCTATGCTGTGTCTCATATTCCTGTGACTTATTCATTCCACTTCTCCATACAGAAAATTAATTCGCAAAAGCAAGATATAAGGAATGTTTAGCTTTTTTTTTAAGATTTTATTTATTTATTCATGAAAAACACAGAGAGGAGAGAGAGAGAGACACAGGCAGAGGGAGAAGCAGGCTCCATGCAGGGAGCCTGACATGGGACTTGATCCCGGGTCTCCAGAATCACGCCCTGGGCTGAAGGCGGCACTAAACCACTGGGCCACCTGGGCTGCCTCTAGCTTTTCTTTAACATAATAAATGATGAGGTACTGACAAAAAAAAAAAAATCGAAGACTCTGTTTCACATGTTTTTATGAATACTTCAAGATATTTGTTTTTGCTTCTTTCTATTTAACTGAGTGATGTTCCCTAGTAAATAAATCAACCAAGCCAAATAGTCATAGGTAAAGGCTTATTGTCAAGATTCTGCTAACAACAGAGGAGACTTCCATATTTTGAAATAAGGAATCTGTCTTCAATCTGTGACCAGTTTCCTTGTCTTGATGGTGACTTGCCCACTGTTTCCACATTCCAGTATTACTAATGTTCATATCACTGAGTTCTAGCTAATGTAATGTTGGATGAAATGTGTTCCTTTTCTAAGATGATCATCAAAAACTACCCCCTGAGTCTGCACTTGCTCTTTCTCCTGTTTTGACCAGCTGCAGACAGACAAGCACTGAGAGAAGGGAGGAGCCACAGATGAAAGGAGTCTTCATCCACGATTGACCATTTGGAAGGTGATCTGGAAAAAAAAAAAATCCTCAACAATGGACTGTAAATTTACAGAAAAAAACCCTCTATTGTTTGAATGCATTGTATTGTTTGGATTTATTTGTAACCAATAAGTCTACTCTAAGAAATACAAGTGAAAAATAGGAAATTGAGTCTTGTTTTGATGTCTCCATTGGGATGAACATTTGTATCATCAGGTGCTCCATAAATGTTTGCTGGAAACACCTGAATTCAGTACTAATCTCCAGATCCTGCTCCTTTTCCTGAGCCAGTGACCCAGAGGGAAGAGTCTAAGAGCCCACATTCCACTCAGACCTGTATCCAGAAATAGTGGGGGCTATTCCACTTTTAAAATTCTTTTTTTTTCATGTGTACTTTGCCCAGACCTGTTGCAAAGAACCTTTTGCATGAACGAATTCACCTGTCAGTATTTCTTTTTTGAGTGACTTTCTTTCATCTTACTCTAAAAGATACTCTAAAAAAAAAATTTTAAAATAAATTAAATAAATAAATAAATAAATAATACTCTTATTTGCAGTAAGAAAAGGCTAACATCACTTGGGAATAATGTCTCTTTATTGGCTAGGAAGGAGGAGAAAAGGATTCCTTGTATTGTAAAATATATATTGGGCTTAGTTTTAATCTCCAAGGAATTTGCGTTTTCCGGAAAGAGAGGGGAAATTATCTCCTATGATTATTTCTGGAATCTTCTCTTCATACTAAAGAAGTCATGATAGGCAACTGAATTCGTTTCTTGGGAGACTACTCTCTGGCCTTGGTGGGCTAGCTATAGGAGATCTTTTACTCTGAAGATTTTTCTTTATACATCAAAATAGTGATGTGTCCTGTTTTCAAAAGATATTTAAGTTCGTAATTAATTGTATTAGGTACCTAAATGTTTATGTTCCTAATTGTATTAAATACCTAAGTACTGTCTACTTAGTAGGAATGGCTCCTACTTTTTGTAAACCTCTTCTTTAGACAGAAACAGAAACCACAAATCAAATGTGTGCTTAAAGATAACACAGTTGGGGGGCCTGGATGGTTCAGTGAATTAAGCATCTGACTTTGATTTCATGAGGTCAGATCATGATCTCAGGGTCATGAGAACAAGCCCTGCATCAGGGCATGGAGCCTGCTTGGGATTCTCTCCCTCTCCCTCTCTCTCTAATAAAACAAAAATTAAACAAAAAACAAATAAATAAACCAATCACAGTAAAGCCATACAAGTGTCAGAACAGATGGCAACATCTAAAAGGAAAAAGTGTTTTGTGTGGAACGATGGAAGCACACACAGAAATCATGCCAAAGAAGAGAGGGATATATACTTTGTTTTGCCTGATTATTGCTCTTAAAGGATTCTTAAGCCAGATGACTCTAGAATGTGAGAAAGTACATTTCTGTTGGTGTGAGTCCTCACGTTTGGGGTCATTTGTTATGATAGCCATCTGAACTAATGTGTCTCCCCTACTGTGATGTAAACTCCTGGAGAGTAAGAGATTGTGTTTTGTTTATTGCTGTAGCTTTCCAGGCATAGACTGGTGCCTGGCATGAAGCAAGTGCTCAATAAATACTTGTCAAATGAATGAGAAGAAATAAGGAAATAGATCTCCAGCTTATTCGGAAGGTGTAATTTCCTTTTTAAATAACTTTCATAGTCATTATGAAATTATTTGCTCCAGAGAACCATTTTCTGGTTTGTCCTCATTCTGAAGACAGCAGTGTGTAGAGGTTAAGAGCTGAGGCTCTGAACTTTGACAGACTTGGATTAAAACTCTGGCCATGGACTCATTGGCAGCTGTGAGTTTGGACAAATTAATTAATATCCTTAAGCTTCAATTTCTGCATAAGACTGTTGGAAAGCTTAAACATCGATATATATTATATATATCATATATATATAATTCCTAGCTTGGTGCTTGACCATGTAAGTATATTGTAAATAGGAAATCAGTTTCATAATAATAATTATAATTAGTTGGAATTAATAGGAAATAGACTGAAATTTTATAGACTCAAATATCTTCTAAATTTAAATTGCTTTAAAGTGACATCCATCTAGTGTAACATTTTTTTTATTAAGAATTTCATTCAGGATCCCTGGGTGGTGCAGCAGTTTGGCGCCTGCCTTTGGCCCAGGGCGCGATCCTGGAGACCCGGGATCGAATCCCACATCGGGCTCCCGGTGCATGGAGCCTGCTTCTCCCTCTGCCTGTGTCTCTGCCTCTCTCTCTTTCTCTCTGTTACTATCATAAATAAATAAAAAAATTTTTTAAAAAAGAATTTCATTCAATAAACTCTTTCAAGCCAGAAAATTCCCTGCCACAGGGAATTGCAGATCTGTCTCTCTGTACTACATATAAGCCATGAGAATGTTGTATTAATTATGTGAAAAATGCCAGGAGTTCCAAGTTATAAAATAAATCCAGCCCAATCTGATTGGCCTACCTCACCGACTGTTTCAGGGAGGCTGGACAGGCAAGTGGGTTCTTGCTTCTTAACCCTTTCGTTTACTGTGCCATGATCTGTCAGTTTTTCTACCTCAGGAAAAGAAATGATCTCTACACTCTTTTTGTTGTGGTTCAGTGCCGAAATATCAAATACTGACATTGTCTGTCATTCAGGGATATGACAGTTCAAAAACTTACTCATTTGCGTAAGTTAGCATAACATTGAAACACAGATGAAAAATCCTGAGTTGCTCCATCACCACTGCAAATAAAATAAAATAAAAGTGAAAAAAGATCTTTAAGAATATGAGGAAATGTTTAGATAATAAAATTGGAAAGTAGTGCCAAGGAAGGAGGCAAGAAAAGCACATCTTTTTTTAATTCTTTTTTGAAAATTTTAAATCCAATTTGCCAACATATAGTAGAACACCCAGTGCTCATCACATCATGTACCCTCCTTAGTGCCTGTCACCCAGTTACCCTATCCCCACATCCCCCTCCCCTTCAGCAACCCTCTGTTTGTTTCCCAGAGTCCAGAGTCTCTCAGTTTGTTTTCCTCTTTAATTTTTCTTCATTCAGTTTCCCCTCCTTCCCTTATGGTCCTCTGCACTATTTCTTATCTTCTGCATATGAGTGAAATCATATGATAATTGTCTTTCTTCGATTGACTTATTTCACTCATCATAATACCCTCGAGTCTTATCCACATCAATGTAAATGGTGGCTATTCATCCTTTTTGATGGCTGAGTAATATTCCACTATGTATATGTGTGTGTGTGTATGCCACATCTTCTTTTTTTTATTTACAATTTTCTTTTTTTAAAAGATTTTATTTATTTATTCATAGAGGCACAGAGAGAGAATGAGAGGCAGAGACGCAGGCAGAAGGAGAAGCAGGCTCCATGCCAGAGAGCCTAACGCGGGACTCGATCCAGGGTCTCCAGGACCACGCCCTGGGCTGCAGGCGGTGTTAAACCGCTGCACCACTGGGGCTGCCCCTGCCACATCTTCTTTATCCATTCATCTGTCAAAGGACATTGTGGCTCCTTCCACAGTTTGGCTATTGTGGACACTGCTGCTATGAACATTGGGGTTCAGGAGTCCCGTCATTTCACTACTTCTGTATCTTTGGGGTAAATACACAGTAGTGCCATTGCTGGGTCATAAGGTAGCTCTATTTTTAACTTCTTGAGGAACCTCCATGCTGTTTTCCAGAGTGGCTTCACCAGCTGGCATTCCCAGAAAGGTATGTCTTTAAAAGGCAAGACAAGGGGTCTTAATCTGTTTTGTTACTTTGTTCATTGAACATAAAAATATCTATTAGACTTCCATAAATTCATTCTCAACCTCAATCCCTTTAATTTTCTCCTAATTGTATTTCTTAACTCTGAGGTAACATAATTTGGGGGTTTAGAGACAGCATATGTACTATATACTATACACAAATCTCAGCTCCTTATGCTGGTGGAGGAAATCTTGCCTGCTCTTACCTTCCCACTCCAGGCTCCACCACCATGGATTCCTTTCTATTCCTTAAAAATAAAGCTGAGGAGCATAGCTGCTTCTTTGGCCTGGGAATGTACTTTCCGTCATCTGTTTATGGCTGGGTTCTTTGGAGAAGCTTCCCTAAATCCCTGCTTGCACATCATCCTGGTTTTATTCTTGGCCCAGCATGGATATTTTTCTCGGTTGTGTGTAAATGTGTGTTTGACTTTTTTTTTTTTTTTGTATGAACTGGTCATCTCCTATCCCATTACAAAGTAAGCTCTGTGAAAGCAAGACTCTGTTTATTTTGTCTGCTGCCATATGCCCGGTGCCTAGCACAGTTCTTAGTATAACCTAGTAGATGCTAGTAAATACATCTTAAATGTAATCGAGGCAATAGCATCCTAAACATTAATTTTATTTTTAGTTTCTCTTCTCAGTCTTGGGTATTCCAGGTTCTGATTTCCAAATTTTGAATTCCGTCTGAGATATTACAAATCCTGACTTCTGTCACTACAGAATGATATTTAACGTTAACGTGTAATATTAGACACTGAATACTAATACATCCTGATGTTGGACTCTAAGGTTCATGAGGAGTGCAGTTGGAGAGCCCTGGGCTAGGAGATTCAGGAAGGTGAATGTTACCTTATTACTAGAATTTCTTCAACTTTGACACTCTTTGAGGAAAGCCCATGCAGAGAAACACTGACAGAGAAAGGCAAGAAACAGCTTTATTAAGGAGTGGTTCTGGCACCTTAGATCCCAGTTGAGGGCTGCTAATCAAATGCCCTAGAGCAAGAGGCATAAGCCCATGATCTGAGGTGTGAGGGGGAGGCAACACCATTTTGATAGTTTTATTTTCTCAGGCTCAGAAGAAAATCTTAGAATCTTACCACTCTGGCCAACAACAAGATGCAAATCATAGTAAATGTCTAAAACACCAGAGATGGACATTGACTCAGCTCCTGTATGAGAGAGGACCCTTGTTCTTTTACTATTCTAGACACTTCGATTTAAAGAGAAGAATTGCATGTAGTAGATATATCCCTATCTAAATAGTGGTACAGATTCTTAAAAAGTTAAACATTCACTTACCAGATGACCTAGCAATCCCACTGATAGGAATTCACCCCAGATAAATGAAAACATGTGTTCACTCAAAGACTTGTATTTGAGTGTTCCTAGCAGATTTATTCATAATAGCTGAAAATTAAAATCAAGAAAAGAACTGGTGTTGGTGAATAGGTAAATTGTAGTCTCTATGTAATGAAATATTACTTAGCAATAAAAAAAATCCACTTATATATGCAACATCACAGATGAATCTTAAAAACATTACATTGAGTAGAAGAAGCCAGGCACAATAGAGGGCATGCTGTGTGATTTTATTTTATGATATTCTAGGAAAAGAAAAACTATAGTGACAGAAAGTAGAGTATTTATCAGGAGCATCAGAGCTGGGAGAGGGTTGAGGGGAAGGAGAATGTTTTTGCACAAGGGGAATGTGTGATTTTTGGAGTCATGAGAAATGTTCACAGTAGTGGTCGTGTGTACACAACAGTATACGTTTGTCAAAGCTCATCAAAACGTGCCTTAAACTGATGAATTTTATTTTATATTAATCATAATGCCACAAAGCTGGTTAAGTATACACTAAGTATATATATCCCCATAAATACTCTGGAATCTGATACAAAGTTACTAGTTGCTTCTTCCTTTTGAAGAGGGGGGAGGGGAGAAGGTAGATGTTTTTCTCCCATTTAAAAGAACACCCTCTAGGGCATGTTCTAGCAAAATTACAATGGGTGACATACTTTCTGTTTCACTCTACATGGCTCTGAACGGTTCTTCTCATTTCACATTTTGTGATTACAAATTCTTCTTTGTGTTCTTAGGCGACCTGTTTTCTGACTAGGATTTTTTTTTTTTTTTCCAGCAGTACTAGGGGATGGAGAGGGGACATAAGAGGGAGAGGGAGTGGCTGCAGGGTTATGCTCTTTCTATGAAATAGGAAATGAATAGTCAAGGACTTTTTTTTCATGGTTTGTTCATGTGTAGGTGAGTTGTGATTTGAACTATGCTTTGGCCTGATGTGTCTCTTACACTTTTAGGGTATCCCCATCAGGAACCCTTCATTTTCACCAAGTCCAAATATATGGCAATTTAAGTAGAGCCTGGGTAAATAAGCCAATATGCTAAAGTCCCTTTGACTCACAGCTCTAAGTTGAGCACTTCCATTAGTGAATTTCATTAGGGTCATGCTAATGCTATTAATAGGTTTCACGAGGGTCATGCTACTAATATGTATGATGATTTTAGTCTTTTTTTTTTTTTTTTTTTGATTTTAGGTCTTTGAGCAAATTTCGCTGGAGTTTTGACCTCAACCTGGCTAAAGAACTTAATAAACAGGTAACAAGGGACAAAACCAGGTTCTGCCTCTTAAATGTATACTTTGCACTATGTTGCTCTTTAATTATCCCTGTTAATTAGCTGTTAAATATCCCTGTTAAATAGATAGGGGTCTATCTAACTTGAATTAAATAGTTGAAGATCTGAGGCAGTGAAGGAATAAGTAAAAATCAACCCACAGTAGACGGATGGAACTTAAGTCAAACCTCCTCTAGGGTATCAAGTGAGTATTTATTCCCTGAAACAAGGTGTGTCATTGTAGGTTTACTGCAGTAGATAAAGGTATGGCCACTTGAAACCGGAGATATCTTCAACTAAACAAGCCAGGCTTATTTATTGTCCCCCTCCTCACTGAAGGAAGAAATGAGATGACTTGTATATCCATCTTCCGTTGTCTTTTGTAGATGATAAAATTCCAAGTATGTGGGAAATTATTTTCATTATGTTGGCGATTCTCAATTTGGAAAATGAAAATTTTTTCCTTTTAAGGACTGACTTCTCAGGGAAGAAGATTATCCCTAGTCCCAATCTGCTTAATTTAAAGGGAAACAGGTATTTCTGACCATTGCTAAATCCCACAGTCTTCCAGGATTCGACTGCACCCAGGCCAAACTCTATCCTAACCGGGCCGCTCCTGCCATCTAGTGACCTGCTTCCAGAACTACACGGACAGGGCATTTACCTAGTCTGATCTGCTCAAGGGTCAAGAATTATTTTTAAGTTAATGAGTCATGTGATTAGCTTTGACCTTCACGTCCTTTCATCCCTACCTACTGTCTGTGTGACCTTGGGGAAAATTACTGAATACTTCTGAGGCTCCGTTTATTCACCTGTAGAATGGGAATAAGGACCTACCTTTTACAGTTTTCACGAGGCCGGTAGGAGATAATATATGGAAAATGCTGAGCAGAGTGCCTGGCACAAGTAAATCCTGAATAAAGATTTGATGGTTTGTATTTATGATTATGCAAGTCCAGAACTTAAAAATAGGCCAAAGTATGCAAAATCAAGTTATGCTATATGAGGTATTTCAGAATAAATTAAGTATATAATATTTAAGGCTTGGAAGAAGATCAAGTTTATTTAGGCTCTTTGTGTTCGCTGCCAGCAAATGCATTATTGCACTTGCCTCATTCCAAGCCTTTCCCCACCTCATATTGAATGTTCCCGTCATGGCAGACAACTCATTACTTTGCATACATTTTAATGCCTTTCTTTCTTTTTTTCTGAAATACTCTCCCTCACATTTTTACATTTCACAGTCCTAAACTCCCAACTCAAATGTCAGCTTCCCATATACTCCTCTGGTGCTGTCAGGTGGAGTTAAATGCCACGTAGCCTTTAATCTCATCTCTATTAGAGCATCTGACAGTGTCTACTGGAGAGAAACAGGAATCAGGCGTGTGTGGCCGCATAACTAGAGTGTGAAGTGCCTGCTGTGGGATATCATGTATTGTCTTTGTATCTTCTCTCCCCCAAAACAATGCCTAACACAAAGACTTCACGCAACACTGCTCCACAGAAATGAAAGTTTGGCAAATATCTTAGAACAACTTTTTAAGAAGGCTGAATGAGTCAGAGGGGCTTCTAATGTATGTTGGACTAAATCAGCCTACTGGCTTGAGTTGGCAAGATTCGTCCCATCAAAGTATGCTTTTGGATTAAACCATAAGTAACATCTTAATAATAGTACTAATAATTGAGTTCATTAAAGAATATTTGGAAATTACTAAAAATGTAAAATAAAAAATCATGGCCCTGCTACCCAAATGGTAATATTTGATCTTTTTTCAGTGTTTTGTCTATACATTGTTTTTATCACATGGTTGTGAACCTTTTCTATTCGCGGCTAAATACCCTGATTATTAAGCTTAACATACTGTAAATATTTTCCCATTATACTGTATACACACACACACACACACACACACACACACACAAAACAATTTGAAAAACCAAAAGTCCACTGAATAAATGTGCCATAGTGTCCTTAACATCACTGTAGTTTAGATGTTAGCTTGTTTGCATTTTTTGGCTAACATTTGTAATGTCACAAAATAAATCTTTGGGCATACAGGTTTTCCTTTGCCCAGGCTTATTTGCTTTCATGAGTCCCAGAAGTATAATCCCCCACTGACTGCCTTATTATAATAAGCCCTGATGGACCAAGACTTGGTTTTAACCAATGGGTTTTGGCTTATGATGGCTCCAGGTCACTGTTATGAACTTCAGTTGCCCAGAATTATTGAAGATGTGAAGAAAGACTCTGGAAGGTTACGCTGAGCAAGCACAGAAGGCATACTATTTTCTAAACCCATTCCCTGATATTCAGTTGTTTGCTTTATTTTTTATTGCTTATTTTTGTGTGTGCATTTGTGTGTGTACATTTTTTCATTTCGTTTTATATGTGAAATCCTCAGGCCCAAGATGTTAGCTGATTTTATATCTTTCTTTTACAAAGGATGATTTCTTTGGTTTCTGTAGTTATTCGCTTATACATTTATTAATTGCACTTTGCAGATATTTATGGAAGTTTACTCCATGCCAGAAACTTCTACTAAGCGTTACATAACCAGACACTAATAAGACACATTCTTAAAAGCAGTTCATAGCTTACTTAGAATAAGACAAACAGTGGCATTGCAGTATGAAACTTACTTTAATAGAGGTAAGAATACTATTGCTTTGGAAGCAAAATGGGGGGCTTATTTTGTCATGGGTAATGGGAAGACTTTACAAAAGAGTTTATACTTGAGTCTTGAATGGTGTAGGAGTTTACTGTTGGGCTTCAGGTAGATTCCATTCAGAGGGAACAATTTCTTCATGGGCATGAAAGGGAAGAACGTGGAAAAACTGAAAAATTCTTTGTGGCTAATGAGAGGGCTTACATGGAGAGAAAGAGCAAGAAAGATAGAATGTAAAGATAGACTGAGGCTAGATAAGGAAGGGTTTTATATTTTTATATTGGAAGCCAAGAAAAGTGTGTTTTTTTATATTATACCCCATTAGGAGTCATTTAAAGTTTTCTTCCTCTTTTCCTCCTCATCCTCTTCTTCTCTTTCTTCTTCTCAAGCAAAGGAGTGACATTAAAATAACAGTATTGGGCATCCCTGGGTGGCCCAGCGGTTTAGCACCTGCCTTTGGCCCAGGGCGCGATCCTGGAGTCCCAGGATCGAGTCCCGTGTTGGGTTTCTAGCATGGAGCCTGTTTCTCCCTCTGCCTGTGTCTCTGCCTCTCTCTCTCTCTCTCCCTATGTCTATCATGAATAAATAAATAAATAAATCTTTAAAATAAGATAAAATAAAATAAAATAACAGTATTGAGGAATTGAGACTTTATGCCAGTCATGTTACTTGAACATTTTACATAAGGGTTTTTACAATAATGCTATGAGACATTGTTTTCTCAAATAATATGGGACAGGAAAATAAGACATAAAGAAGTAATGTGTCCAAAGTTGCACAGCTAGTAAATGGCCAGACAGAAGTACAAACCTGAATATAGTTGACTGCAGAGTGTAGCCTCTTAATCACTATGGTCTATTGCCTCTTTGATGTAATATTTTAGAAAGATACTTTGGAGTCTGGAGAGAGGTGGTTTGTAGTTGACAGAAAGGGCCCATCTGTGAAAGTATTGCAAGAATATAGGACAGAGGTGATGAGGGCCAGAACTTGGCCCTCTAAGTTGGAGGCTGAGAGATTAGAAAAACAACAGCTATAGGCATAAAGTGTGGATAACAGAAAATGACTATAATTCTGGGGGGAAAAAAAGAGATACTGAAAATTCCATTAAAAAGACTTAAAATTCCAATTATGGCATCTGCCATTTGGGGACTGTCTATCATAATGTTCTCGAAAGTCGTCCATCCCTGACTGATCTGAGATAAATGACATTCCTTCTCAAAAATCTGGCATCACTGAGTTTTGAATCATAAGGTTGCCTGTAATTTACAGAAGAATTGAGTTCAAAAAAATTTTTTTATTAAGTCATGTATTCAATACATTGCTAGATCCTGGGTGTAAAGATGAACAGACTAAAAACTTTCCCTTAGAGAAATCTCCCACCAAGATGTGTTGGAAGACCAGGACAAAATAATCACACTGCTGATAAAATGTACCCAATGTTGAGAGGTGTTGACAAAGCATCCTGAGAGCCCCCAGGGAGGGGAGAGCATTTCTGGTCATGGCATATGGGCAAAGTTCTACCAACAGCGTGTGGAGAGAGTTTGCATTTAAGTTGGACAAGAAGGATTTTAGGGGGTGGTGAGAGGCGATGAATCTCAGGTAGGAAAAAAGAGAATCATCTCAGAAGGAGAAGAAGGCAAAGGTTGGGTGTGTGTGGGGAGAGCAGAGGAGAGTCAGGTTGGTGGTTGCAGAAGGCATGCGTCAGTGAAGAAAGCGGGGTAAGGCCAGGAAGGTATGAGGGCAGAGGAATGCCGACGCAAGCTGTCACAAATGGTAGGCCAGGCCAATATGGCTGGTGCTGTGATTTTTACCATATAAGCTTAGAAGGTGTGTGCACATGAATTCTCTAGATGGAGGAAAGGGTGATTTTTTTAAATTGAGATTCCCTGGGTTATAAATACTTCTAGGTCTTCACACCTCAAATATCCCTAACAGTCCTGATGGCGCCTGGCACATTGCAGATATCCAGTAAATTTTGTTGAGTGAATGAATGACTTCTGTTCTTCCTGCTATATGGATGATAGAGGAGACCTGCTTTCCAACAAGTACACATCTTTTTTTTTTTTAAGAAATTATTTATTTATTGGACAGAAAGAGAGAGCAGAATCAGGGGGAATAGCAGAAGGAGAGGGAAAAGCAGGCTCCCCACTGAGCAAGGATCCCAACATGGGGCTTGGATCCCAGGACCCTGGGATCATGACCAGAGCCGCAGACAGATGCTTAACCGACTGAGCTACCCAGGTGCCTAGTACACAGCTTCTTAAAAAAAAAAAAAAAAAGCCAAAAGTGAGGAGGGCACAAGTGGACTCTGGAGTCA